TTCCGAAAGACCCTCGGCTCAAGATAATAAGAAAAACCAGAAAAACAAAAGGGGAGAATATTACTTTATGCAGAGAGGGGCAACCTCGTAAAATCTTCTGCAAGGAACCTACCATTTTGACGAGATCTCCAGGCTTCGGTAAAAACACTGCTTGAAATAATAAAGAGTATAACAATTTTGTCTTGTGCCAAAGTGGCATTTTTTCCCATGTTCTTCGTAATGTCACCTGTTCTTAAAATAGATATAACAATTCATTAAACTGAAAAACATAAGGAAAACCAACGATACGGAGCAGGAACAGTGAATATGTGAAACTGTTTCTTTTTTCTTCTTTTTTCAGGTAGAAAACACTACCAAAGAAAGTGTAATTGTAAGCTGATAACATCATAAAAGCATTAAGAAACTTCATATTTTTATACAGATCCTGCACTCCATGAAAGTGGTACTCTAGTGTGTCAAAAAGAACGAGAGAGAGAGAGATGAGAAGGGACAATAGTTTTCCTACTTTAGCAATTCTGATGTTCACCAGACACAACATGAATGCAACCTCAATTGTGCCATGATCACAAGAGATATGTGGTGATGTAAAAATATTATCCAATTACAGAAGGGATGCACGTGATAACTTTTAGTCACAGAAGCAAACAAACAAATTCAACAATGGAATGAATCAAAACATCTTACTTGCACAGGACGGTCACCAAGAATCACTTTCCCACCGTACTTCATTGCTTCATCATACGCCACACGAAACTCTGCCCCAGGAAATACCTCAAGCTTGCTAGCAACCTAAAATGCAACATAGATCCAATGAGTGATCAGCATGTCCAGAGCACCAATGGTAAGGAGCAAAGTAGCACTTCCAAACTGTAAAGATGACTTTTGAGATAGGTCATGCCTTGGCGAGAAACCAGCTGTACAGTATCCCAAATGGATTTTGATTTTTCTTCCACATCTCCACCATTTCTCCCATGGTTGGTACCTGGCCATCTCAGAATTGAGAATATTATAAGTTCACCTGAAGAGGAGAAAGTGAAGATCCACTATAACATCTCGCATGGTACAAAGTAATACAGCTAAATGATACAAAAACTAGGTAACATGAAACTACTCAAATAAATGATAAATCAAGCAAGGACAGGATCACAGAATATACTTATTTGTTTCTATAACATAGAAATTTAGAAAAGGTAGGTGTTTGAAATGTCTGTCAATTAAGACATTAATACCATGATGCCGAAAAAACATATGCACAGAAGAGCGAGAGAGACAGAGAATTGTGTTCTCTGGCATAGCTTATATCAAAAGGTCATTTCACTTTTCATCTGTGTCCATGACCGAGATGACATAACAACATACCCACCATCTGATACACCCTTGATTCCTTGAATGTATCTGGACTTTTTCCATGACTCATGGCCAGTCCACTGGAACATGCATTACTCTAATGTGCTTGATGTGCCTTAGTAAAGTCAGGACAGACATGTTTAAACCTAAAACTTCTAATAAACAAACAAATTGCAAAAGATCAGAGACAGAGAAAAATGGCAATATAACATGTTTATATGAAGTACTAAAGTGAGACAGATCAAAAATGACACCAGTTGAGACGAACATATGCTGTCTAGGGGTGCTTATCGAGCGGATCGGGCGGATAATTACGCTTAACGGTTCGGCTGAACGGTTATCGGATTATAAATGTAGTAATCCGCTAGCCATCCAGTAAGACAACAGGCGGATCGGTATCGGATTAATAATTATCGGGCGGCTTATCGCCTAAACCAAATAGAAATTTTTTGAACAATCATTCAATCAATACCAAACAGTTTCAAATCAATACCAAAATTTTAATAACATCTAAGATCTAACGAAACGGTATTTTATAATTGAAGAGTCTTCAAGGCTACTCATACTATCATACACGTATTAACCAAATTTTTAATACCATCAAGACTGCTCATACAGACATACACGTATTAATGATTGAGATTTCGATTTTTCGACTTCTTAGTTCACACTTCAAGAGAGAGACGAGACTGACTACTTCTCTGCCTCTAGTGGATGCAGACAATTGAGAATTAGAAAATAGAAATTAGGGATTTAGCCGTTTAGGGTTTCAATAGTACTTTATATACATAGGGGTAAAAGTGTAAATATAAAAATTCTTAACGGGTTAACGATTTACCCGATAAGAAAATTGAGTAATCCGCTCCCAAACCGTTAAGCCGTTAATTATAAAATCTCAATCGTTCACCATCCATTACCCCAATAATCGATACCAATAAGCCAATAAGCTATCGGTTCTTCGTTAAACGGTTTCGGTTCGATTTTGAACAGTCCTAATGCTGTCTACATATGTCTGTATGTGCTAAATATGTACACCTTTAAACATTAGTTACCCAAAATGATGGATATTCTCCTAGCACGAACAAATTCTCTGTTTCCAAAGTTTCTGCAAACTACGTAAATTCTGAAATGATAAAAGGAGAGCCTACTAACAGAATAAACAATTCCAATACTTATAACACTAGCTACTAACTGCTGGATTTTCTCCTAACACAAATAAATTCTCTGTTTCCCAAAGTTCTGTGCAAACTACATGACTAGTGAAATGATAAAAAGAGTGCCTACTGATTGTAAGACTGACCTTTAATTCTTGAGGTGTGAGTACACCCACTCGACCTGAGCATAACTCCAAGAAGACAACCTATCATCAACAACCCAGCATGAATCAGACTGATGTTCAAAACGTAAAAAGGATTGAAATATATAGCATGCACCACAAGCTGCTATGCATCAACAGATTGTTAGAAGTATGACCTCTGGTTTCAAGAAATTGATCACTGCTTCAACTTCTTGGCAGGATTCCTGTAACCATGCATAGTAAAGTAAGATGATCATACACCCTTTATAAGTCAGTCTGTTTTACAACATCTTTTTCTTTAATATGAATGGTTAACCCAATAAAAAATCCATATCATATAAAGCTTCAAACTTGATCAACCTAAGCAAAGAGAAAGGAGAAAATAGGAAAGATGAGGCACGAAAAATGGAGAAAGTACATATTTATACAAGCTCAGTTTGTAGCGAGAAAAGTTTATAGAGGCATGGGAACTTAATCAAAATCACTTTATATCACGTCTTCTCCCATTCAACTTCAAGAATTTTAATTATATTTTTCAATTTAGCCATGTAAAGCAGATGCTGAGTCAAATCCAAGACTAAGAGACATCTCAAGCAATGCTCACAAAATATCTAACAATCCTATGTTGTTAGAGCATCATTTCAGCAAACAATTATGGATGAACTACTGATCCAGTCTCTACTACGGGAAGCATGAATTATATCAAAATAAAATTCTAGAGTTAAGAAACTTTATGCCGTAAAAAAGTTCTTGAAGTTTGAATACAAAAATCACCTGGACCTCCTTATAAAATAATGCTAGTAGAAATACCTAATAATTGCAACAAACAAACAGATAATACGATTTCTATCACTCCTTCAACTTAAAAGACGAAAAATATGTAAAACATTCGCTCTTGACACTTTACTTTTCACCTCTCTTTGTGATTGCTAGTTGCATGAAATAAACTTATAAAGGATGAATATGGACATTTCTCACTCAATTTTCTCTATTCTAGCATTATTTCTAATAAAACGATTAAAAAAAAGTAGGGAATTTACCGCAGAAACGTGAGCAGTGCCAACAACATATACATCGCAAATGCCTGCGTCCGTAGAAGATTCACAAGTGAGCTTCATTACACTCCTCGACAATCCCTCCGGAAAAACCTTCCTTTCATATCCTTCACCTGCACAATTAGTCGTTTTTAGCCGAAATTATTCAAACTTTAGCCGCCTCAAAATCAACTTATATTTAAATAAGGGTGCTCAAAGCGGCCACCTGCTGTCATTTCTACACTCGCCGAAGTTACATCTTCAATACTCGCCTCCGAGCCTTCTACACTCGAATTAGCACTTTCTCCTCCATCAACGTGAACAAAATCCTCCAGCACCGACGCCGTCATCGGAATTGAGCCCATTTTCGCCGGCGTACGGCTCCCGGTTGTTGAGAATGATTTATAGTTTTGAGTTCTGGTAGGTATTACGACGAAATATTTAGCGCGGAGAGATTTGAACCGGTGAACTGAGCCGGTGAAGGAGTTGAACCGGTTTGACTCGGTCGAGTTGAGAAAGGTGAGTTGGCGATGGCGAGGCAAGCGACGCAGCATGGAGGGTTTTAAATTGTGTAACCGTTTACGTGATTCTATTTGTGGTTTTGTATTTATACGTTATACCTTGCTTTGGAGTTTGGACACACTGGACATTTTGATTACACGTGACAAGAGGGATTTCACTGGATTGTTTGCTTTGTAGACCTTTCCTTTAGTCTTAAGTTTTGCGTATTTTAATTTGATGTTCTTTTTAATAATTGTGATGTCCGAATGAAGTTCTATATTTCGACCAAATTTCACAAGTACATGCTACTTCGATTGAGGCTTAAATAGATGACCGGAAATCACGCGTCCGGAATCAAAATGTGATTCTTTTGGACTTAAACAACCAAAATATGTGGGGGGGGAGGGAGGGAAATAGTGACCAAAATATGTATAATGCCCTTTTAAAGGGCGCTATACCTTAACAGCCGTTTGCCCGTTAAGATATAGCGTCATTTAAAAGGGTACGTGAATTTGAAAAGACAGGAGGTATAGCGCCCTTTATTAAAGCGCTATACCTGAATTTGAAAAGACAGGAGGTATAGCACTTTTTATTACCGCGCTATACATATTTTGTGGGCTCACCAATAATTCTTCTGCGCTTAACTGACATAACATAATTCAAATGGGTATAGCTCCCTTATTTAAGGCGCTATACCTCAAAAAATTCGACCCCCCGGATTGGTATTGCCTTATTTAAAGACATTAAGGATTTTGTAAAAACTCATTTAGAAATATTCTCAAGTCTTGTGAAATTTTTCTTTGTTAAGTTGTTTCGCATTTTGTCATACTGTTTGAAGAGCGGAGAATTAGGATTTCATTATACTGGGGGGAGGGGGTGAGGTTGTGGTGGCGAATAACTCAGTAAGCTATAGTTTATCTCCACAGTGTTATGTTAAGTTGCCACTTAAAATGGAGCACGATAGATTGGTATTGTTGTTATGTAATTAAATGAGTGTGAGCAAACGTTCGGTAAATCTTAAAGTGATCAGAAGATATCCGTATTCTGTGACTTCGTAAGGGGTTGCTCGTTATGCTGAGTTTAACATCAAAGACGGTTAAACTCTGAGACATTTTTTGAGGACTCCGGATGAATACCGGGAATTTATTGTGATAAAACTGTTGGAAATATACGTCAAGGCTGAAGACGTTCGCAATAATGAGGTTGCACAAAGTAGGGATATCTCTCAATCATTGGGTGATTATTTTGGAGCAGCTTTAGCCGAAGAGGTTCCGGCTGAAAGAGTTTGGCCGGATCTAAACTTATCTCCACGAGCGAATGAAGAGCGAGGAAATAATTTTTCCCCTAGTTTACATAATCCACAAGCCGAGTGGTAAAATTCAATTTTACTTTGTGTTAAGATGTATATTTTGTGTATTATATTTGTATTAACACTCATATATTCCACAGGAGGTACCGACCAGATATGAATTTTACAAGTTATGAACCAACGGCCAGTTGGAATATGCCAAGTTTTGATGTGTTCGATCATGATGGTCCATCTGGGAGTCAGCATCAACAAGATAATATGCATCATAGGATATCAACACATTATGATTTGTAAGTGAATATATAAAGTTATATATATTATTTGGACTAATTTGAGTAACTCATTATTTCTTTGATTGTGTAGTGAAAATGAGCAACTTGATGGTCCTGTCCTTACTCAATTGCCCGAAGACGACATATTTAATCGGGATCTAGCAGATGCGCAGAGTCAGGAAGATAATAGTGATTATAACAACAACGCCGATGAGTTTGGAGATGACACACCCTTCCCTGACGAGGGTAATAAGGAGGAGGAAGAGAATGTTGAACCTGATTTGACGAGGGATCATGTTCCACCTCCCGTTAGACCAAGAGTGTATGAGTCTCACGTGTCGTTTCATTCAAGGCGTATTCCTTACCTTGATCATTTGCCAAGTATGCCAGATGTGGATGCCCTCACAAGGGATATTAACAAAATTCGGACAATAATATGGGATGAATCTAGACCAACGGTTCTATCAAAGGTCATGTTTTTTTTGATAAAGCGCGCCTAAGCAGGGTGGTGTAAATATTTAGCATAAAAGAGTGTCGTGAGATGATGGTATGGGAGTCATCTCCAGATGTATACAAGATTGTTTACCGTAGATGGTTTATGGGTTGTAATTGGATGTTGTGTGCGAGGAAGAAGAAAACAAATATGTGGGTTGTAGATAAATACATTGGCACCCACAATTGTAAAATGGACACATTCGGTGGGAATCACTTTAACTTGGATGTTGACTTGATTTCTCTTGTCTTAATTCTACACATTGAAGCCTCCATAAGGCACAAGATCAAAGAGTGTATTAAATCTTTCCACCAGGAATATGGGTGTACCATTACCAAAAAGGCATTTCTCGAGCGCAAACGTGCGTTTGAAATTATTTATGGTAACTGGGATAAGTCATTTGCATCTCTACCCAGGTACATGGCCGCATTGCAATACTTTAACCCCGGGACTGTTGTTGAATGGAAGCTTGAGTGGAGTTCTGGAATACATTAACATATATTCATATATGTGTTCTGGGCTTTCAAACCAGCAATTGATGGTTTTGTGCATTGTCGGCCGGTAATATCCATAGACGGCACTCATGTCTATGAAAAGTATGATGTTGATCGTCGTTATAGTAGATGGTAATGGAGGTATATTTCCCCTAACTTTTGGTATTTGTACCAATGAAAGCCAAGAGACGTGGACGCTATTTTTAAACCACTTGAATGAGCATGTTGTCAGACAACGTTCAGGTATTTGTCTGATATCTGATCGACATGGCTATATTTTAAGTTATGTACAGTAAAGAAGCCTATCTTTGGTTGATGCGGCATGAGCTTGACAAATGGACATTGCATGCGGATGGTGGCAGACGATGGGGAATCCTGACTACAAATGGGTCAGAGTCTTTTAACAGGTTATTGAAGTCTGCACGTGGATTTCCTGTCACTACCATGGTGCGGAAGTCATTCAAATAAATGGCGGAGAGGTTTGTTGAAAGGGCTAGAGGTGCATCGTCATTGATGGAGAAGGGTGTTGAATTTATGGCAATACCAATAAAACGATTTGAGAAATATAGGAGGCGAGCACATTGGCATTCATTTTTACAGTATTTCAATGAGCGAAATATTTTTGAAGTTCGCACCGCTATCCATCAAAATCGGGAAAATAATACACATACCTTAAATGAAACCAAAAAGTTGTGTTCTTGTGGACGTGCTCACATGCCATGAAGTGCTTTCAACATACATGTTTCGCGGCAACCCGGTACATTGATAAGGAATATAGTATTACTGCATACTTAAACATCTATAGTGGACAGTTGCAGCCAGTGGGTGCTGAGCATTATTGGCCATTGGAACCATTTAAAATGGTGTGTAACAAGGAGTATTTGTGTAAGCTACAAGTGCAAAAAAGAATGCATATACGGAACCAAATGGATGTTGGTGATACCGTTTATGCGCGTAAATATGGAATATGCTCGCAAACAGGACAAAACCGTCGTAAATGTCCTTCAGCTGGTTTGGATGGCGGTGGTAATCCATCTCCTGGTGGAAGTTCATCTAATGCTCCCAACTATCAAGATACACGTAGTGTTTTGTTTCTGTAATATGGTTGTAATAAGTGTATGTACTTGTTTATCTTGCAGAATGTATGAAATAAAATTATGTTTTCATTGCTGTTAAATCTTATTTATATTTAACATTAATACTTCAGTACAACAATCTAACATAAATCTATTAAAAAAACAATTGTCATTCGCCATATTTTTTTCAAGGTAGGGATCGATAGTGTTAAGATGTGATCCATGGGGATCTATTAATAGATGTTGTAATATTTATTCAAAAGGTCGTTGAAATATATATGACTTGGTTCAGTTTAAGAAGCTTTCTTACACTCGAAATAATTATTATCACGCGAAGAATAGCGCGGCTAAATACCACGTTATGTGTATTGTCTTGTCGACTTGAAAAAGTTGTCGCTCTGGAAAAGCTGTCTTCTAGAAAAGCTTTATTGTACTCTAAAGAATCATAAGCACGCGAAGCATAGCGCAGTTACATACCACGTTGTGTGTATTGTCTTGTCAACCTGATAAAGTTGTCGTTATGGAAAAGCTATCTTCTAAAAAAGTTGTATTGTACCATAAAGAATTATTAGCACGCGAAACATAGTGTGGTTAAATACCACGGTATGTGTTTTTTCTTGCCTATAAATGACTAGCGCATTTTAGTTATTATCTGCGCTTAACCAAAACAAATAGCAAAATTTTCCATAAATTTTTTATTTTTCTTGCATTAACAAATGTCTGGACGCAATGACCAACTAAGGTGCTATTGTGGCAAACGTGTGATTTTGAAGGTATGTTGGTCTGATGGTAATGTTGGGCGCAAATACTGGATGTGTCAACAATTGTTTGGACGCAATGACGAAAATCATTGTATGTTTGAGGAATGGTATGATAAACCCATTAACCAGGAATACTATAAATTAAGTTTGCAGTAGGTATGATAAACCCATTAACCAGTAATACTATAAATTAAGTTTGCAGTAGGTATGATAAACCCATTAACCAGTAATACTATAAATTAAGTTTGCAGTATGTTTGGAATATGAACGTTGAATACCAACGCCAGATCTTTGAAATACAACAAGAAATTGCGGCACTGCAGGAGAAACTAAAAGAGGTGGAAGAAGAAAAAATAAAATGGAAGAGAAATTTAAGTGGTTGGAGCAGAGAATAATAGGCGGCAGTGACTAAACAAACACATGTATGTGTTGAGTGTACTGTTTTATCTTTATGTTTTCTGTGTCATGTATTTTCATTAGTTGTACTGAATTTAAATTATGTTAAGTTGCTATGTTTGTGTTTGTATTGTAGTATTAAAATAATGAAGAATCAGAGAAATAAAAACATAATGCACATATAATGTAAACAATAAAAAGTGTTGTTATTATTTACCGAATGTCATATGTACATAAATTACAAAAAAAAAAACAAATGTGTCC